GTTCATACCGACAGTGTTGGTAACATCAGTAAAAGCAAGTTTTCTAACTATCAGGATAAGTGTTGTAGAGAGTGTTCATACCGACAGTGTCGGTAACATCAGTAAAAGTAAGCTTTCTATCTATCAGGATAAGTGTTGTAGAGAATGTCCATATCGACAGTGTCGGTAACATCAGTAAAAGCAAGTTTTCTAACTATTAGGATAAGTGTTGTAGAAAGTGTTCATACCAACAGTGTCGGTAACATCAGTAAAAGCAAGTTTTCTAACTATTAGGATAAGTGTTGTAGAAAGTGTTCATACCGACAGTGTCGGTAACATCAGTAAAAGCAAGTTTTATAATTATCAGGATAAGTGTTGTAGAAAGTGTTCATACCGACAGTATCGGTAACATCAGTAAAAGTAATTTTTCTAATTATCAGGATAAGTGTTGTAGAGAGTGTTCATACCGACAGTGTCGGTAACATCAGTAAAAGCAAGTTTTCTAACTATCAGGATAAGTGTTGTGGAAAGTGTTCATACCGACAGTGTCGGTAACATCAGTAAAAGTAAGCTTTCTAACTATCAGGATAAGTGTTGTAGAGAATGTTCATACCGACAGTGTCGGTAACATCAGTAAAAGCAAGTTTTCTAACTATCAGGATAAGTGTTGCGGAAAGTGTTCATACCGACAGTGTCGGTAACATCAGTAAAAGCAAGTTTTCTAGCTATCAGGATAAGTGTTGTGGAAAGTGTTCATACCGACAGTGTCGGTAACATCAGTAAAAGTAAGTTTTCTAACTATCAGGATAAGTGTTGTAGAAAGTGTTCATACCGACAGTGTCGGTAACATCAGTAAAAGTAAGTTTTCTAATTATCAGGATAAGTGTTGTAGAGAGTGTTCATACCGACAGTGTCGGTAACATCAGTAAAAGCAAGTTTTCTAACTATCAGGATAAGTGTTGTAGAGAGTGTTCATATCGACAGTGTCGGTAACATCAGTAAAAGTAAGTTTTCTAACTATCAGGATAAGTGTTGTGGAGAGTGTTCATACTGACAGTGTCAGTAACACGAGGAATATAACAGTAAGTTTTAAGTAAGTCTATAAGATAAGTGTTACAAGTAATGAAAAACATTTTGTAAATGTAAAATGATCTAGGGATGACAGTGCCAAAAAGAGCAAAAACAATAATATAGGAATGATACAGTTATACACAGATCATTCGTACATGACTTTCAATATTAAAATTTAAGGCTACACAGTAAAATGCACGAGTAAATGGTTACGAGGTCGGTCAATTCGACCAAAGTCGACGCGAGAGTCTGTAATAATCAACACATGCTTTGACTCAACTTGGTTTTCCTTGTACATAAGTCGTAGGCTCTTAGTTACACTACATTCATGACATGATCATGATATTATGATAAACAAACTGTATACTAACAGTAAGGAATATAACTTCCAACTGCATTAATATTAAAGTCAAGTATACATTTTACAGTGTAGCATTAAATTTTAATATTTGAAAGTCACGTAGGGATGATCTATGTATAGTTATATCATCCATATATTCTTGTTTACATTCATTTTGGCATGGCCATCCTTACATCATTTTACATTTATCAAATGTTTTTTTTATTACTTGTTTTGTGACGTCCCCCCCCCCCTGACTGAAGTTAGTGTATTCTTTGAAGGTGTGTAATAAAATTTAATATTATGTGTATTGATTGTTTTTACTCCTTTACTTCATAACTAATATAGGGGTTGGCTCCCTAAAGACTCCTATTGTATAGTGTACAAAGTATTGAGTATCTACATGTTTCGGTCATCTAACGTTAATCTATTTTTGATTGGTAATTCCTGTTCTTAAGCTCTTAAAGGAACACCATTTTTCTGTAAAAAAAAGCTAACTTTAACATTGTTTACATGAATTCTACGTTTTGGTTGTTTGGTCACTTTCTGGTTTGGTATCTTAGCAATGTTTTTTTACCTTGTTTTTGGACTTGTTGGACATAGAAACAAATGAAAGTGACAATCATCTTTTAAAGTAAAACTCTCTGTCACTTTTTATTTTTTAGTGTACATATTTGTATTACACCTATTTAGTACCTTGGTAATCCCTACAGACAGTCTACCTATTCAATGATGAAACGTTCCCATTGGGCGTGTCAGTAACATTGTTGGAGTTACTGGCTGTATTGTTTGTGTAATAATGACTGTTAACACTACGAATACTACTGTTATTATTACTTATTATCATTGAAGGTAATTTGAGAAAGGTACTATGTGATATAAAACTCACAATACTCTGCGAAAATTGAATTTACTATCAAAAAATACCCCCCCCCCAAATGTACCGATACAGGACCTCTATTATCCCCAATTACATTTATAGTTACCCCAAGGCGGGTCCGAACCTAAGGAATTGTGCCAAAAGTGGTGTTCCCGGAATCCGACTAGGTGCCAGGAACGCAAAATCCGATGTCAGATTCGAGCTTAGCATACGTACCCCTAAATCCCTATCAACCTAGACGATCTTCTGGGCGTGTTTTACAATCACGTATAGAACACATACCCTTAAGTCCCTATCATCCTATGCGATCTTCTGGGCGTGTTTTACACTCATGTATAGAACAGCAACTTAGTAGTACAGTGAAGTGTCAGACAGACATGGCGTAGAGGTAACTATAGATCATCATAATAAAAATGGTTATTTATCAACAGTGGTTATTTGATATAAGAATGGTTCATTATCAACAGTGGATATTTTATATAAGAATGGTTCATTATCAACAGTGGTTATTTGATATAAGAACTAAAATAACCACTGTTGATAATGAACCCATAAGAATGGTTCATTATTATCAGTGGTTATTCTATATAAGAACGGTTCATTATCAACAGTGGTTATTTGATATAAGAACGGTTCATTACCAACAGTGGTTATTTGATATAAGAACGGTTCAATACCAACATTGGTTATTTTACATAAGCATGGTTCATTATCAACAGTGGTTATTTTACATAAGAATGGTTCATTATCAACAGTGGATATTTTATATAAGAATGGTTATTTATCAACAGTGGTTCTCATTTTGTAGCTAGGCTGTATAATCAACAATGCTCTGGTGTTTATTAATCTTCTGGTTATAACTGGAGTGATATTGGTGGGAATGTTCAACATGGATGCTGAAAACTGGATAACAGGAGCTGGCTTCTTCCAGTTTGGTTTAGGAGGGGTAAGTAGCTTTCTTTTGTTACCAGCACTGGATAATAAATCCTGTTTTTTTTTCCAGTGTGTCATAGTTTATTTGAGTCTAAATATAAGAGCTGTAAGTTCTATCCAGCAGAGATTAAAACAGACTGAGCTAACGTTCCGGATTCTGACCGACAAATGTGTTAATCTAAAAGAATCTGAGCTGACGTTCCGGATTCTGACTGACAGCTGTGTTAACTTGACAGGCACCTGAACTGAAGGAGTTGACGTTCCGGATTTTTATCGACATCCGTGTTAATCTAAAAGAATCTGAACTGACTGAGCTGACGTTCCGGATTCTGACTGACAGCTGTGTTAACTTGACAGGCACCTGAACTGAAGGAGTTGACGTTCCGGATTCTGACCGACATATGTGTTAATCTAAAAGAATCTGAACTGACTGAGCTGACGTTCCGGATTCTGACTGACAGCTGTGTTAACTTGACAGGCACCTGAACTGAAGGAGCTGACGTTCCGGATTCTGACTGACAGCTGTGTTAATCTAAAAGACTTCTGAACTGCCCGACTTGATGTTTCGGTGATGTGTTGAGCTGATAGAACCAGAACATTTCACAAAAACACTCAATTTCCATTTTAAACCTGTATGTCCGTATAGCAGCTCCACTGTGGTCAGTACATGAGATAAGCTTACCTTAGGTTGGGTGCAGATAGGGGATAATTGTGTAGCATTAGGTTTAAAGAGTTCATGTTTTATGTAAAGTAACATTTATATAATATCAAGCTGTTATGTGTAATCTCCCAGTGGGTCCGCAGCAAGTTTACGGACTTATAACGTGTAATAACTGAATTAACTTGAACAAATACAATCAAAAATTTGATTTTTAGTAAGCTTCGTTTTTAGAATAAGTCATTTTTCTCGGAGTACGACTCCATGCTAGTATTGATCAAGGTCCTGCTACGTTCTATACAACGTCTGTTTTAATGCTGATAAGAGCCTGAAACGTGAATCCTGAACTGTCAGTGGGGGTGTTAGTGTTTTTTTTAAACAAGTCTTGTAGTTTTTATCGACACATCCATAACTACTCTGTATTGAAATATATGTTGTTCTTTCTGACAAACGTAGCGTTTCCCTCTTGGGTAATGTAAAAACTACAAGCTGATTTTTTTTTATCCCAATCTAACGTGCTTTCTAACTATAGTCCGATAAAACTTTGTAAGATTAAAAAATAAATCAATGACATTCAAAGAACCTTGATAATTCCAGTACTGCAGGGTAAACTTACAACCTGGATTGTTTGCTTCAGAATTTCGTGCAAAGCTATGCCAAGCCGTTCCTAAGCTGGTAGACTAGAAGGAAGGCAGCTAGTCAACAGCACCCTCCGCCAACTCTTGTGCCACGCTTGGCTTATCGAATTTGACCGTCACACTTATAGCGCACCAGCGGTCCTAAAGTGCGAAACGGGATCTTGCGGCGAAGGATCGCGAACCACGAATCTTTGAATTCATTGTCCGGGCACGGTAATCAATAATTCACGCCATATTTGACCTTCACACTAATTCGTTTTGAATAGGAAGAATGTACCTTTTGTAAACGTTGGGCTATCTATTTTACTTTTAATTGTGATAACAAATACTGAAGTAAACTAGTAAACATACTAGTTACATTACTTTGTCAATAACAATAACCGTTCAACAATTTGGGTTTAATACTAGTTACAGCTTACTTTGTCAATAACAATAACCTAACCCAAGTTGTTATTATTGTTGAACATAATACTACAGGTTATTGTTATTGACAAAGTAATAACCCAAGTTGTTATTATTGTTGAACGTAATACTACAGGTTATTGTTATTGACAAAGTAATAACCCAAGCTGTTACTATTGTTGACATAATATTACAGGTTATTATAAAATGTTATTTCTATTAGTTTAGTGGTAATGTGTATAAAGTTTAGATATATCAGACACTCATAGCTTTATATATGAAACATTTCATTGGTCAACAATCTAAAGCTACTGAACGTATTGTTCTTTAGCTGATTACTGGTGCCACGTTGTGTTTCTACGCTTTTATTGGCTACGACATCATAGCGACCTCTACTGGAGAGATGGAACATCGCTCTAAAGTTCTTCCTGGATCCGTCAGTCTCACCTTCTTAATTGGTCTCGTGGCATCTTTCATCACAGCGGCATCTATAACTTTAGTGGTCCCTTCATCACTTCTTGAGAAAAGAGGCCCTCTTCTGCAAGCTTTTGACATTAGGAAAATTCACGGAATGAAATTCTTTGTCATCATCGGAGCCAATTGCGGCCTGCTTTCATCTACGGGGGCATGTTTATTTGCTTTGTCCCGAGTTCAACATAGTCTGGCCAATGATGGCCTCCTTTTCTCTTTCCTAAGCCGCTATAATAACAACACTGGCACCTCCTGGTGGGCAAGTCTGACATCATCTTTACTATCCGCAATAGTAGCGGTTTTCTGTGACAGTACCGGTTTACTAAATATGTTGGGAATGGGAACCCTTGTAGCTTATAGCTCCGTTGCAGTATCTGTGCTCTGCCTTCGCTACGGAGCTTCTGAACGGCTACCATTAGAATTAGGAGAATTATCTCGTGAGTCCACACTTACCCTGCCACTAGGTGGTACAAGTAACACTTATTTGAGTCAAGTGAATTCTAGTACTCAAACCCATGGTTTGAACTCTACCAAAGAAGACGGGCCTGTGGCTCAAACACCTTCATCCACTCCAATAAATGAAGCCTGGGAAACTGTAAATGCATGTACGCCATCTACTGATCAAATTGGGGAGACAGCTATAATGGTGGGCACAGTTCAGAGAGACTACGGGGCTGTTCAGCCCAGAACAATGTCAGTGGAATTTGTAAACGAGAATTACGTCTCATCCTTATCTGACCTCACCTCTCTGGGCTACCAGAAGCAAGAACCAAACCGAAAGTCGGTTACTACTTCTGCTGCCATGGTGGCCACAATATTCTCCCTCGCGGCTATCATGGGACTGTTAACCATGCACGCACCACTCTTAGGACATGAAAATCGTTGGTGGCTAGAAGTGGTGGTCTGCGTGATGTTTGTGGCAGTTATTACGTGTGTTGGGGTGTTACTAAGGCAACCACGACACCGGCCTCGTATAAGAAATGGTGTAGCCTGCATTCCATTTCTTCCAATCTGTGCTATCTGGATCTGTGTCCATCTGATGACTTGTCTATCTTATACAGCATGGGTGACCTTCCTAGTGTGGGACCTCATAGGTAAGAGATAAGCCTTTTCTGTATGATAATAGTATTAGTAACATATTCTCCTGTTACCTTAACCCTAATTCATACTAAGCAAGAACATCTGCACCTTAATCGTAATTAACAACAAGTAAGAACAGTTGTACCTTAACCCTAATTAACAACAAGTAAGAACAGTTGTACCTTAACCCTAATTAACAACAAGTAAGAACAGTTGTACCTTAACCCTAATTAACATTAACTAATAACAGTTGTACCTTAACCCTAATTAACACTAACTAATAACAGTTGTACCTTAACCCTAATTAACACTAACTAATAACAGTTGTACCTTAACCCTAATAAACACTAACTAATAACAGTTGTACCTTAAACCTAATCAACACTAACTAATAACAGCTGTACCTTAACCCTAATTGACACTAAGTAAGAATAGGATACATTATGGGTTATCATCCAATAAATTGAAGTAATGACTAATTACAAAAAAGTCATGACGAAAAAAGGGTTTTGGGTAGGATGTGGTACCTATCGTGTATAACATTAATTGAAGGTTTTTGGGTAGGGTGTAGTACCTATTGTGTATAACATTAATGGAAGGGTTTTGGGTAGGATGTAGTACCTATCGTGTATAACATTAATGGAAGGGTTTTGGGTAGGATGTGGTACCTATCGTGTATAACATTAATGGAAGGGTTTTGGGTAGGATGTGGTACCTATCGTGTATAACATTAATGGAAGGGTTTTGGGTAGGATGTGGTACCTATTGTGTATAACATTAATGGAAGGGTTTTGGGTAGGATGTAGTACCTATTGTGTATAACATTAATGGAAGGGTTTTGAGTAGGATGTAGTACTTGTTGTGTATAACATTAATGGAAGGGTTTGGGTAGAATGTAGTACTTGTT